GGCAAAGAATTTTGGATATAATATAGACTTAGAAAAGTGGCAAAGTTTGTGGGAAAGAAACTATAAATTGACAATGTCAGCTTCATACAAAGAAAACTTATATAAAATGTTTTATAGATGGCATTTGCCACCAACAAGATTAGCAAAAATGTTTAAAAACTTGTCAGATAAATGTTGGAAATGTAAACACAAACCAGGTACTTATTATCATATATGGTGGACATGTGTTAAAGCAAGGAGATATTGGACAATACGCACTTGGTTAGAAAAAATGTTAGAGAAACACATACTATAAATGTGAATTTTTTTTACTAGGTATAATGCCAGAAAAACCTGATAAGCAAAGTACATATTTGATTCTACATATGATAACAGTGGCAAGAATTATATTTGCACAATATTGGAAGAATGAAGAAATACCACCAGAAGAAATAATCAAAAAAATATTAGACTGCGGAAATGGACAGACTTACTTTAAGGTTGAAAGAAAAAGAAGAAACAGAATATTTTCAAACTTGGGACCTATTTTATCAATGGTTAGAGAAAAGATTTAGGGATTAGGAGTTTAATTTGTATTAGTGAATAAGATACTCAGGCAACACATTTTTGTTGAATAATTATTACTGAACTCTGTTTAAAAAAATATTTTTTTAAAAAATATAAACCACTTAGAGAGGGCTGTAAAAGCACTATGAAGCGGTATATAAGTCTAAGTGCTATTGCTATTCTTATTTTGTTCACAGTAACAAGTCCCAGAATCTTTTGCCTTTCATTGGCAATTACATACAATGTAGAATGACAAATTTAAGTTGTGGGAGTCTGCATAAAAGTTAAAAGTAGTCTTGGGTTTGAAAAACAAATGATACAAAATTCAGTTCTATGTGGAAGCTATTTTTGGATTATACTTCCACATATGGTCTTATACTGCAGCCAACATTTGGATTTCTACAAACATAAGATTTTAACATTTAAGTTCATATATAACTTGCTAAATATTGAGAGCTTTGTAGATGAAGTAGAAAGTGTAATTTTTAATCTTGATTTATTATTAATAGTTACTTTGAATATTTTTACTTCATTTTCTAATACTTGTGTATCTCAATCCTGTGTACTTTAAGCTTTTTATACTTCCCCGACTGATTTTTAAATACTATACACATGCACATATAAACACATACACACAAACACACATGCACTCACACCCGCACACAGGATTAATATCAATATGCTGATGACCCAGTTATGCTTTTGGAGTTCTTTCACTGTGGAGAGATCCAAATGAAGAACAATTTTCAACTTAATCCTAACAAGACAGAATTGTTTTGTGTTCCAGGCCCTCCTAGATGAGAGGAACTTCCACTTTTGGTTCTTAATGGTGGGATGACAGAACCAGAGCACAACAAACCATGGAGGGGGTCTCTTGTACTCACAACTCCAGACGGCAACCAGGACCAGGAGGGCATTTGCACAAATCCACTTTGTGTACCAACTGCACCCTTTTGTCTTGTTTGAGGGCATTGCTGTTACATCTTGGTCCCTTCAAAGTGGACTGCTACAATGGATTCTATGTAGGGCTGCCCTTAAAGATTATTCATAAGCTGCAGCTGGGGTGATGCAGGCAATTATATTTACAGTTCAATTTACCCTCCATCATAGCTTGGCAAGGTGCTCTGGCTCCTTGTAGGCCATCATGTTCAATACAAATTGTTGTCTTCTATTGAACCCTTCACGGAGTGGAGCCAGATTATTTGCAGAAACATCTCTCTCTCTGATCTGTTTTGCCCATCCCACTTGGTCTGACAGGGTTGGCACAGTATTAGATCAGTGATGGAGAATCTTTCGGGCTTGGCAAGTCAAAAAGCCTAACTTGACTCTGCTGGCATGTCACATGACCCTGAAGAAGAGAGAAATATTTCTCTATCCTATCTTCCCCCTCACACATATACACATCTGAATAGCAGCATCTGGGTTTCAACTTCAGCCCAAGTGCGACCACTTCCACTCAAAAAGGCCACCTCACACTATTCCTCAAGCACGCAAGCCTTAAGGAGAGGTACAGTTGCCTAGCACTCCCCAGGATCACTTACCTTTTATTGACAGGCCCTGCAGCCTACCTGAGGTTGCTCCTGGTCATATGAAGCCTTCGTTCTTGAAGCAGCTTTGAAGAATGCTCTTTCGCAGCCTCTGCAAATTGCACAAGAATAAGGGGTGCTTTCGAGAATAGTTGTTCTTCGGTGTTGGTGAACGCTGATGTGTCACCCAAAATGTTGTGGCACGTTACCTTTGACAAATATGTCGTAAGTGACACCATTTAATATTGTGATGTTTTTTAAAATCAGTTTCAGTTGAACAATTGAGTAAAGCAAAATACTGAATTATGAAAAAAATAATAATTTTAAACCAGATATTTAGAAGTTTACGGCAATTATATATTTAATACACGGATACAACACTTGTCAGAAATAATTATATTTAAAATAGAAAGTAATATGGATTTTAATTTTGAATACAGTTCTAATAATGAAGACTTTCTGGAGAAATAAAACAAAAAGATCTTTGCATAATATTGAGAAATTAAAATAGGTGCCAAAGTGAGTTTCTATGGAAAACGAGCTCTTCTGGACACAATAAGTGCGTTGACATGCGGCCTTATAAACTAAGTAGGAACATGAACACTGTTACGAGACACGTGAAACCAATCAGCATCCATTTTGCAACCTTCAAAGCTTTACCACATGGGCAATGTAAAATATTTTGGCTATTTGCATGCCGAAGGGAAGTTAAAGAAAAACATTTCTCTTAAAACTTCTGAGCCCCATCCCAAATGGGCTGCAATCCCACCCACTTTAACATGTTATTCATGCACACCATATCCTTATTATAAGCCAATTAAGTCCCAAAATGTTGGTTTGAATTTGATAGCTGGTTTTCCTCTGTCAGAAGAAACAGTTAAAAAAGAACTGCTGAAGCTCCTTCTATAGTGAACTGGGAACTTTACTGATTGTTTTCCCAAACAGTCTAATGTGAAAATTCAGTGTCTGACTCTGGCCTCATGGCTTGGGTTTTATAATCACAACTGGACCACAGCAGGTTAGTAAGACTATCATAAATAGATCATAGAATGAGTAAACTGGTAGATTTTGAAAATGTTAGTGATATGTAGATAGTATAATGAAATAGAAACAACATTCAGCAACAATGAAAGAGATAATTTCTTCCTTGGATGATTATTAACAAGATTAAACTGAACAGCTAACGTCTTAAATGTATATAGTAAACCACATTTGAAATGAAGGATGCAATTTGGATGGCATGGTACCATTCCAGAAAAGATGCAGAACTTGAAGATTACAGACCATGGCATTGATTTTAGTTTTCCCTTTTCACGAATGGGCAGAAATATTGTACTCTATAATTTACCAAGAGAGGGAGAGACTAAATGGGGATATGATAAATGTTTATTAAGCACAGTATGGAACAAACAGCTCCCTAGAATTCAGGTAATATGAAATCTTCTGGAACTAGTTCAGAATAGACAAAAGAAAGTATAGTTTGTTACAAAAAGGCAGCAGTTGCTACTTGGCTCAGGTATTTTTAAAATCACAGAAGACAAGATTGTTAATGGCTAAGTACTGATTGAAGCAGTATTGAATGCTATCCCAGATCAAATATAGACTTTCCCATCATGGTGCCCTCCAGATAACTTAATTTCCAAACTTCACAGCTATTATAGTTATTGGGAATACTGGATTATACAATCAAGTTTTCCAAGTAGCACCACAAAGAAGTCCATGCCTTTTTTATTCCATATCTATCTATCCATCCATCCATCCATCCATCATCCATCCATCCATCCATCCATCCATCCATCCATCCATCCATCCATCCATCCCATAGATATCTAGAAATATCTGAGTGGCTACAGGAAATGAAACTAGATGGGCTTCTGGGCAACTGCATTTCAATATATTAGGGAAAAATGATTAAACTGAAAATGCTAGAAAAGGTTTTTTTAATGATAAGAAAGTACATTTCACTACCCATTATTGTAACTGCAAGCAAAAAACTGTAAAGTTTATTAAATAACTGATTTTAAAAAAGGAAAGAACAAAAGCAATACATTTATTAGCACAATCAATTATGGAGGAACAAGAAAAAATATATAGCAAATATATTTGCTGCATAAACTACTTAGAAAATAAAGTTCTTATTTTTAGGAAGTACTATACTCCATTGCAGATGATACGTAACTGACGGTGGGAATCAATATAAAACACATAATTTTGGATTGTTAACCGCAATGAGATGTAGGGAAGAATAAAAGCATGACAACTCAATAGCAAAGAGTCCAAATAACTATCTCATGTTTAACTTTATCAGTAATATCTACCGTAAGTAGGAAAGTTGTAAACCACATTTTGTAATACTTCTTAGGGCAATTAGGAAAAGAGAAAGGTGCTTAATTTCCTCCCCCCCTCCTACTTTTCATTACAAAGTGCATATGATGACTTTTCTTCATACTGAAACTTATTTTGAAGATCACTTGCATGAAAAAGAATTTGGAGCTGCTAAGAAGTATTTACAAAATCACATAAGCTAAACTAGTTTGAAATTAAGAAAAAAGCATAGCTGAAACACTCAGATTTCTCATAATACCTAGTTCAGCTCTCACATTTAAATAAAAAATGAAATTCTATTTACACATGTGATTTCATTCATTATTAAACTACTGCATATGCCCAAGGTATGTTCATTTCCCAACGTCCACTATTCTTCTTAGAAAATACTCTACCTCAGCTATTCTACTTTTTTTTTTAAAAAAAGATACTGTATCCCAACCATTCTACTGTTTAAAAAAATATTCTTAGGGGGGAAAAAAGAGAAGTCTTATTTCTGTTGCAAATTTGTCCAACTGCCCCAGCAAAATTCCCATTTTTATTATTTTGGTGTTAAGCAGCAAAACAGAGATCTTTTACATTTTAGTCAAGAATGCATACACTGCAATCACAGGATTGTATAATAATACATGACTTCACAAGTTCTACCCATCCACTTCTTGGTGTGCCCGTGGTCCCTAAGGCTGCCACCAAATACTGAATATAACAGCAGTAACTTACCTATGCATAAGGAAAAAAAATCAAATCAAATCAAATTTAATGGAGGTGTGGCCTGACCTCTTTTGGAACAGAACAGAAATGGCATGCATTCAGCGTGAGAGGGATTCTAATCAAAATACTCATTAGCAGCAGCATTCCCAACTAAATCACAGCACTGACTTGGTCAGGGGAAAAATATAGACCAAACGCTGAATTATTGTAGGCAATTGAGATAAATAAAACCTCAAGGGTCCAAAGCTATATATTAGCAAGTGAACTAGAACAATTAAACTCATTTTTAAAAAAAAACAGTGGCTACTACACATGTATCTATGCTATGGGTTAAACATCAAATATATCTGAATTTTTTTACTAACTACTTCTATGATTATAGATGAAGACATTATTCCATACATAGTGCAATTTTTCACCAACAGAAACATAAGAAAATATTATATACTACGTGTATGCAACTTTTTCAGTGGCCAATAGATAATCTACCTTTTCATTACTTCCATTTTTAAAAGGTGCAAACGTTTAATAAGAAGTTTTTGTTGTGCAAACTGCAACTGTGCTACTTTGATTAAAAGCAAGCAACAAACTAAACTATATTTTCAATATCAAAAGTGTATAACTGTCTTTTGAGGGATTGCAAGCAAATATTTACAATTTGTTCATTAGAGAAATGCTAATCATTATGACTGGAAAGACCCATATTTTGCCCAGACTCCAAGGAAAATGCAATTAAACAGATTTTTTTCTGTGATTTCTCACAGAAAATCACAATGGGCAGGTTGTTATTCTCCAGGAATGATGTATCAATGAAAACATTTTATTAATTCTAAAATGTCCCTGATTGGATTTTGATCCCATCCCCATCTATATTAATAGCATTTAGCATTTTTTCAGGGTCTGTTTTTGACAGAAGACTGTAAACATGGTCACAATCATCTTCAGAATGCAGATTTTCAATTTTTCTTCTCATGTTGTGCTACTACTCAGAACAATATAAGTTACAGTCAAGAAAAGTACATTAGTGGCATCATTCCCAATAACATTTTAGCTAGAAATATGTCACAATTCAAAATATCAAGAATGAAAAGTCTTGAAGATGAATTAAAATACTACTACCTTAACTTAGATTAATTATCGTCTATAACTGCATTAAGATTTGATTGATAGATTAACTACAGAGATTCAAGCCAGATTTCTATACATACATTTATATTATGAAAAAGTTTGCCTCTCTGAAGTTATTCTTTCCAAGTAATGACTAGAGCAAATGTTTAATATTTCTTTTATGCCTAACTTTCACAACTATAATACCTGTTTCCTAAACAGGGAAAAAATAGGAGAAATTGGAGAAAACTTTAGATTTTAACATTTTATGCAGTCTTATCACTGTTTTTCACTAATTTTACTAGGGTGGGAAGAGAAAGAGATGTTTCAAACAGTACTTAATTTATATATTTCCACATTGAGCTTGAATATAAACAGCATTAATCTCAGATTCTCATGCATTCTATATTACCTATACTAAAACAATATATACCAAATTCAATGTATTATCTTTTATAGTTGTTGCGTATTCCAGATAATTTTATAACATACTTGTTTAAAATAAGATGTATGCAACAACTGCCATTAGATGGCAGTGTTCAACAACTTTCTATTGAAATATTAGGTTAAGGATTGGTTTCAGCAATCTTTACACAGTAATTAAGTAGTGGAATACCGTAGCTATAGGTTCCTTTTTTTAAAATGCTTAGTTTTGAGAAAAGTTTTAAGATTTATAAACTGATGTTGGATTTTAGAGCCTGGGATTAACAGAACAGAACTTAATAGAATTTTATAAATTATCTGTCTAAAATGTGGGTATGCAAAAAGCTGGAAGCTCAACCACCTTCAATATCTCTCCTAATGAAATTGCAAAAGAGCAGCTTTCGTGAGGTGCCACATCAAAATTTGAATTTGTTACATATTGGAAATAATTTTAAGGTATACAGGCTTTTCTACTAGTCACTATAGAATATTACATGCTGAAGAGAATTTTTTTTTAAAATGTTTAAACCAAAGTCATGACCATATTTTCAATGTTCAATTACTCTTCAAACTAAATTATATTTCATAATGTTCTAGAATTGGTATTAAATATTTGGATGCTTTTCTAGGGAAAAAATGTAATGTTCCCCTCTCTTCTCATATTATTAAACTGGATTGGCACTTGGCATTCATTAGATAAGGTAGCAAACTTGACATAGAAACTGATTCATATATACACGAAAAGGAATTTCAGGGAGATAAGTGCAATTTTAGATTGATTAAACTAATGAGAAAGCATCATTTCTCCTGGACATTCTTTGAGACAAGACCTTGAATTCTTTCTAGGCTGCAATCTGTCCTAGAGATGACATGTTCAAAATAGCAAGCCCTGGAAGCAGCAGTGCAGGTTTTAAAGACAGACAGACCAAGCAGTTAGTTTCCTGCACTTTGCTGGTTTACAAAATATTCCCACATGTAAGAATGCCCAACATTCAGGGCACACCTGCAATATTTATTAAATGAGGTTAATAATATTCCCAATTAGACATTACCAGAAACTAGTAATTTAGATCCCTTGATAGGCACAGCTTCATATTCCCAGCTATCTGTCCATCTTATTTATTTCTGACCAGATTTTACGGTTACCCATAGAGATCCAAGTCAGTTTCAGAGCCCCTTCTTCTGGAATGCTTCCCCATTTACTTTCACAGATGAACCGTTTTTCATTGTTCTATCACTAAAATTCCAGTCAACAGGGGAAGAAAGTTGAAGAGTCTTTTTGTAGGTCCAGTAGGGATTAAGTATGAAGGTAACAGCACTCAATCCTGTTAATACAACAGTAAAATATAAGAGTCCCATATTTTCCATCACAGCATACCAATGGGAAAGACACACCCACCACATGTGGTAGGTAAGTATCATGCGACAGTGAAACATGTGGATCGTTATCCACTGACTTGCCTTCCAAAAGAAAGTATTAGCCCGGCCAGCCTAGAGAAAAAAAAAAAAGAAACCCAAGTTAAAATACCAAACAGATAAAACTGAAACATATTTCATATTTCATGTAAAACAAGAACTATATTTGCAAAGTTAAAGCATTATGGAATCTTACTTCCAAGTTTAGTGAAAGAGTTATGAAAGAAGCAGGGAATCTGAAACAAAACTAGCTTGTGAGTAAGAACTTAATTAAGCATCTGGATGACCTTTTGGAGGACAAAATGGAATGTCACAAAGAAAAATTATTAGGAAGTACGCATAAGTTCTTCCAATTCCAGCAGATTCATGCCTTTTTGTCACATGATTGAAAAGGATCACTCAAAGGAAAAATAACCTTTTGCATATGCCAAGACAGCAACTTTTTAATCCATGCCCTACAGCAGTTACGGAACTGGAAAATGCAGGAGAAAATATCCCAACACATAAATCTTGGAAGGCTGCTCCAAAAAGAGACTTATTCCACAACAGATCTATATTTCATCTATAGAGTTTGTCAAATCCATAGAAAATAGTACTGGCTACTTAATTTAAATAAAAGGAGGGATGACCCCTGCCAAATTATCCTAGGCTGTATTATTAGGAACTAGAATTCAATTGAGAGCCAGTTTGATCTAGTACAGGGGTCCCCAACCTGTGGGCCGCGGGACAGGCTGGCCAGTGCGCGCGCCCTTACTTACGCTAGCGCTGCGGCTGTGGGGCGCAAAAACAGGACGCCGCACCTCAGAGCACGAAAACGGGCCACTGCCACACGGTGGACAAATGGACACTGCCACATCGTGGGGCACAAAAACGGGCCGCCACCGCACTGCAAGCTGCAAAAATGGCTGCTGCCACGGGGCACAGAAACAGGGCATCGGCGCACCACAGGGCACAAAAATGGGCAGTTGCTGCACTGCAAGGCACAAAAATGGGTACCGCCACAGTGCAGGGTACAAAAATGGGTGCCGCCACATTGCAGGGCACAAAAACAGCCACCGCACAGAAACAAGGTGCTGTGCCATGCAAGAACGGAGCAGGGCTAGGGAGTATCACACGGGCGCTAGCTCCACCCCATTTGTGGTGCATGCATGCTTGTGGCCCCGTGCACATGCACACATGTAAAAAATTTTCTTTTCTTCCGGTCCGCCAACTGACAAAGGTTGGTGACCTCTGATCTAGTAGTTAAGGCAATATGCTAGAAAGCGGGAGACTGTGAGTTCTAGTCCCACTTTAGCCATGAAAGCCAACTGGGTTACCTTGGGCCAATCACCCTCTCTTAGCCCAACCAACCTCACTGAATCGTTGTTGTGGAGAAAAAAGGAGGAAGATGTCTGCTCTATTTGTAAAAATAATAAAGGCAGGATATAAATACATTTGTCTTTTAGTATTCTAAATCCATCTTATTAAACATCTTTATGGTATTCAAAGTACTCTTCTAATAAGGGCAATATAAAATTGGAGGCTTCAGTATTCTGGTATAAACTTACTTTAACGTGCAATATCTCTCACCCATCCCAATATCCCCAGAGAATAGCCTGAATCCCAAGGCAGGGAATATATGGAAATTTCTAACCTCTCCCTTCTTCTACTCACTCAGGATGTTACTTAGCAATATAAATCATGTTTTATGTGAGCTCAGTCAACTATACTAGTACAATATGTTCAATTCCAGCAGTATCTCAAGGGAAACATTTGAATTTTGACTCAGGCTATGACTGTTATTTCACCTAAACATAAACAGACAGCCAGAAACCTCCTAGCACAGCTCCGCAAAATCTAAGCAAATGATACCAACTTGATATTGACATCCATATGGAAGCATTATAACCCACAATATTTAAATTGCTCAGTTGTTCCTATGAATTTAATTCTTTCTTAATATTTTGAAAGAAATCCTGGAAATCATATCTGCTTAGAAACATCACAGTTTGACAAAGCAGTTCTTCATCTAATATGTAATAGTGGGGAGTCCGTAACTAGTCAAATATAATAAAAAGTATACAAAATGTTTTTCAAACTATGTTACTTACAATTAGGTTCAAAATATTAAGAATATTTTCATGTGATTATCCAGATTTTCAATCTTCATAAATCAAAAGTGTCATATTAACCATAACTGAGGTATTAATACTTATTCTCTTTTACTTTTAATATTCAAATCTAGAAAGGACAGGTTGGGTTCATATAATTTACTCTTTTGTTTTCTATAGTTATTTTAATGTAGAGAAGGCTGGCTGGGTCCACACAATATATTCAGTCTAAATTGGAAAAGTATAGCCTAGAATGACAGGCACCCACCAGAATCCCTTTTACCTCCTCTACTGACATAATTTTGCCACTGCTATACCCCTGGCAATTCCCAGGGATTAAAAAAAAATAAAATAGTGTATGGCTTATGGCCAAAGAGAAATTGTCCTTTACATATTACAATGGTTGGGTTCAAACAATTTTATGGCTCAGTATAATGTATGAACCAACCACCACTTGGAACCATCTATTTTTCCTTTTTTTCTCTTTAGCCCTATTTATTACTTGGGAAACTATACTGAATTGGGGTTGGCAAGGTTATAGTCTTCCCAATGTTTAAGCAAAGCTCCCATCATTCCTAGACACAGGCTGAGCTGTTTTGGAGCTCAGCAATATCTAAAAGAACACAAACTTCCTACCTGTATATTAAGTAATAAGCACCCATAACACAGTCTTTGACCTGATTTTTAAGATTTCAAACTTACACATAAGCATGAACTGAAATAGACTAAATTGTTTGCATTTCTGTCATAAATGTTCACATTACAATGCTGTTTTCAATTTGCAGTCTAAAGTACAATCTATAGTATTATGTATGCTGTATAGAGAGTTCTATTGCTTTAAACGAATACTATTCATACCGCATTTCCCTGAAAATATATATTTTATTGTATTTCTTTTGCCTCCAAAAGAGGCACCAGGTCTTATTTTCGGGGGATGTCTTACCCGCACCACTGCTTGATTTCTTCTGTGGCTGCTTGCAGCCAGATGCTGCATGCCGCATCACGCCAATGCCACCGCTCATGGCAGGCCACATGGTGCATTGTGCTGGTGCCAATGTGCCATGTGGGATCCGGCTGCAAGCGGCCGCAAAAGAAGTCGGGCAGTGGCATGTGGGAGGCCTGGCTGCAGATGTGCTAAGATAAGTAGGTGCGGGGCATGTGGGGAAGCTCCACAACCCCCACCCCAGCTTGGTTTTTACTCACCCCACCTCGTACAACCAGACGGTGGGACAGGGTCTTAACTAGGGCTTATTTTGGGGGTAGGGTTTATATATTAGGCGCATGTGTAAAACTCAAGCTAGGGCTTATTTCCGGGATAGGTCTTATTTTCGGGAAAACATGGTATATTTAATTAATAAAGCTAAATGACCACAAGTGACTCAAAATGGCATATTCAAAAGACTGTAAAACACACTATCCCAGTAAAGTAGCTTTAAGGGACAGCTTTTGAACTGTTGCATATTCAACTCTCCTCTTCTTCTTGCTTTCTATGCCCCCTCTAAATGAAGGGAGCAAAAGTTTACACAGATTCCATTTGCTGTCACTTGCCTTGTCTTTCCTAATGGCACATATGATTCACTTCCCCTTAAGGTCTTAGAAAAAGAGAAGATGTTATATTATGTCATGACCTCACATGCAAGGTTTTACATGACTTCCTCAAATGTGTGAACATTGTTGATATCAGAATGTAGTTGCAGGAAATAAACATTCTCCAAACAGAACTCAAGATTATTACTTTCTTTGATGGTGGTATTGCGGGGCAGTCAACAAACAATCCACAAAAATAGCAATTTTAATCTATGGTTCCATGTCACAGGAAAACAATCCAATTATGTACATAGTTCACGATATTTTAAAGTGGGACATTATATGTATTTCATATGGAACCATATCTTATTGAACTACTTAAAGCAAGCTCATAGATAACAGTAGTCTTCCATTTGGTGTGGTGTATCTCCCCCATGTGCTAAACCTATCATAGATTGAAATTCTTAATACAACTTTAGTTCTTCATTGGAATACACACTAATTTTCAACATGAACTGTTTTAAATGAGATTACAGTTCATGTAACTAAACATTGTGATTAGCTACGAAGGGAAAGGACAGAGCAATCATAGCCTCCCCCCCCCAGATAGGACCATTGAATGGAATTGACAACTACATGGCTAATTTCTACCAGCATTATTTTGAATCTCAAATGCTTCATCACTCTTCCAGTGATATGTCCCACTGTCCTCAAACTGGCTGGGGACAAGTACAGAAAGTTGTTTACCCCTAACCAGGTTTATTGATTCTTCAATATTTTTTCCAGAACAAGTGTTTTGAATGCATTTGTATTCTAAAACACAGTTCTACATTAAATTTAAAGTAACATGTGTAAATTTAATAAACACGGTATTGAATTAATAGATTTAATATTTCATCTGGAAAAGCTCAATCAAGGTAAATACCCAATTAAAAATGAATTATTCAATTAGGAATTATTCCTAGCTGCTGTTCTATCACTTAATATTCTAGATATAAGAATCAGCTAATCTTTTCAAAGGTGCATTTATTATGACACTCTTCTGTAACAGTTAACATCTGTTGGTATAAGAACACTTAGCAGTGAGGACCTCAAAGCAACTATGTACTCAGACATGGGGCCTAGGCCTGATCACTCAGAGACTCTGAATGGAAATTCATACAGTAACAGAGAGGAGATGGAGGATTAGATTCTAGATAGGAGATTCAACAAGAAAAAAGTGGAGAGTGAGGGTTGTAACCTGAACCTCGCGGAATAAAATGTTTTATTACTGAAACAAGCTGTCATCATGCTTTCAGAGCTGCTGCAGTTCTAGCCTGTCTTGCCAGACTAGTCCAGACAAGATATGCAATTCTATATAGCAACCATAGCTGTAATCTCAGTTTGCTTTCTAGCTAGTCAGAGAGAACTGCTCTCACTGCTCTCTCACCTTTAAAAGCATCCAAGACATGCAAGTGAAAGGTGTACTCAATTCAAGTAGCATTCCCATCAAAGGTATGTAATGTCCAGATTTTATGTTGGTTATCAGACCCAAAAAACCACCAAAAGCAAGAAAATGGTGAGCAACTACAAAGAAATCAAATGTTTTAAAGATAAAATTAGAGACATGAACGGCTACATTTTCCAGCAAAAAGAAGCCAGACGCTATGAGGCAAATAAACCAACTCCAGTCCTGCTGGGAATAAACTATGTCAGCTTGAAAAACTGGATCTATAAGCAAAGCCCAGAAGCCAGCCACACAACTCTGAATGCCGAACACGGCTCGTGTAGCAGTCACATTCCAAAAGACTTTCTCCTTCGCTGGCAATGAGCGGTAAGTCATACTCAACCATGAAGACAAAAAATGTGAAAAACAAAATATTCCCAAGTAGAAAAAGAAGCCAATGGCCACTAGTGCCAAACGAACTTCCCACAGAAAATAATTCCAGGCAAATATGGATGTAGATGTTGCCTCATCATTTTGAAGATTCATGTCTTCTACTTATGTTGAAGTTATTTGGGGAGCATCCACTAGTCAGGTCCACTTAGGAATCTTGAACTTTTGCCCATGCAGTGAGGAGCAACCAAATTCTCATTGTCATCTGTAGAAAAAATAAATAAAAATGTTCTATACAATACATACATGCTTACACATAACATCTTATACCTAGTTCTAAGAAATCATACAGACTCAGTTTACAGAAAGCACTAAGAGGTCCTTTAGTTTGGATAAAGCTTCTTGTATAACAGGGGTGTCAAACTGCCGGCCCGCGGACCGAACGCATCATGCGGAAGCCGCGCCCACCCCATTGCCGGCAATGGCAAAACTATCCCGATATGTTGCGTGACGTCACGTGACGTTGCGAGTTTGACATGTCTATTGTATAACAAAATGGCTTAGAATTTTGTGTAACCCATACTGTACATCTGCAATTAACACTGAAATAGTCATATATTGTTTCCTAGTACCTGTCATTGACCATATTAGTGTGGCTCTGAATACAAATACTGTCCTATATAAACCCTTGTAATTGCAATTAAATATGTGTAAATATATACTTATTGTAATGAACTTTTTAAGTTATGTTTTTTAAAAATGTTAGAGTTGCATGCACCTAACCATGAAAAATGCTGAGGAGAAAACTAAAGATGGCATGGGGGATAGCTGGCTGACAAGAAATCTACAGTCACCTTCTTTGATCTGTGCCTTCCACAAGGATTGAATTTAAGATGGGCCTGCAGAATAGCTTAGACCAGTGATGGCGAACCTTTTAGAGACCGAGTGCCCAAACTGCAACCCCAAACCCACTTATGCATCGTCGGGTGCCAGGTGGGTGTGGCCCATTGGGTGGGCGTGGCTACGGTGGTAACGGCAGACTGGGTGAGTCTAAAAAGTTCAATCAATCAATTCCAACTTTGCAAGATCTTTTTTTTTCCGCGAGAAGTTGAAATTGACTCATTGATTGAACCTTTTTTTTTTTTGTACACGGCGGTGGAGGCCTAAAGCGAAAAGGTTTTATAAAACCCTGCTGAAGGCCTAGGACTGGGGTGATGATGCGGGTGCCCACAGAGAGCGCTCTGAGTGCCGCCTCTGGCACCCGTGCCATAGGTTCGCCACCACTGGCTTAGACAAAATTATGGTTGGCTAATTTGCAACTCAATACATTATATAAATCCTGTCAGAGTAACTAGTATATGGTTTGATATATTGTGTGAATCTAAACACTCAAGTCAATTCAGATAAACATGGTTAACTAAAACCTGAGTTAGCAGGAACAGAGTTATGAGCTAAATAAAAACAGATAATCAGTGGTTTATAGCCAACTGTGGGTTCTTTCACTGTATCTTACTTACCCCGTGTTGTGTTTCACACTGTCAGGAAAATGAAGTTGCACATACAAGCTTGGAGGCTACTTAGAGAACACTGTGACCCTAATAATAGGTAACTGCTGTACTTTGCAGGCAGTTTCACAGGTGCATATGACTGCCTATTCATTAGCAGGGAAAGGATGTTTTCAAGCTTTCTTCCATTATGCCTTGCAGGTGGATTTAAGTAAGCACTAAGTTCCAGATGCATATTTCATTCCTAGCCATTATACATTATAAGCACATTATACACTATGATTCAAATCTGGATCACAATAATTAACCCTTAGCTGAAAATAAATTAATACAAACACACACACAAAACATAAAAAATACGCAGTACTTACTAATATCCTACCAGATATTTTTACCAATTGTTCCTGATTTCTGATTTTTTTTTTAAAAAAAATAGTATTTATTTCTCTCTCTGATGGCTTTCTACAATAATGGTTATAGTTGTCTGATTACCAAGGAAAGAATTAAATTTTTCCCCTTAGAGTTGACAGGCACTCGGTTGACGGACTGTCTGCCATTATTCAAAAATCAGGTATGCTTAATTCAGAGTTGAATTCCCAATTCTGTGCTGGCTGAGGATGATGAGAGCGGGACTCCAACATAGGACAGAAGCGACAGCTCAACATTATCCATCCCACCCAAAGATATTTTTAAAATAAATTTCTGCAGCCTGATCCTTTTAACTCGGAAATACAAAAAGGTAAGTAGGCCACTGTCACTAGATGCTCACCCTATAATGTTAATAATTTCATATAAGGTAATTCTCCTGATGATCATCTTCTAAAATTCTGTCTTCCCAAGTCCTTTCTCCATACATCTCAATGCTTAAGAATACCTTTCTGGGTAATGCAGACAACCAAGCCATCCCAAACGCCCAAGGCTTCCCCAGATTAATTCTTGTCTAGCAACAGATTTAACATAAGTTAAAGCCTTGTTGTGACACCCTGGTTAAACACCTAAAATGATAGGGGGGAAAAAACTGTTTTTAAAGAAGAGTGGCTACCCTAATAACTCTGAAGAAACCCTGAGGGAGAGGAAAAAGTAATACTGTATGCCGAAAATTACACTTCCAATTACAGGTAGTCCTCAACTTATGACCACAATTGAGCCCAACATCTCTGTTGCTAAGTGAAACATTTGTTAAACGAATTTTGCCCCAGTTTACAATCTTTCTTGCCACGGCTGCTAAGTGAATCAGTACAGTTAAGTTAGTAACATGGTTGTTAAGTGAATCTGGCTTCCCCTTTGACTTGGCTAGTAAAGGAGGTCAGAAAAGGTGACCGCACGACCCCGTCATAAATCGGAATCTGTTGCCAAGTGTCCAAATTTTGATCACAACACCACGGGGGATGCTGCAAAGTGTTGTTAAGTGTGAAAAACGGTCGTAAAGTGGCTTTTTTTTCCCAGTGCCTTTTGTAACTTTGAATGGTCATTAAGCGAACTATTATAAATCGAGGACCACCAGTACTCCCCCTCAGATCTCCTCGCCCTCGTCTCTCTTGTTCTATAAAGAAATCCGAATTAGTTTCACTTCTGCTAAAAGCGTCTTCCGGGATTGTAAAACTAACCAAGAAAAAAAAAAACCACCGCCGCCGCCACCCAACACGGAGAGCAACCGGCTCCCTTCGTCCCTGGCGGGTGGGCAAACGGAAACCGGGGCTAATTCGGGGCTTATGAAGTACATCCGTGTCCCAACTTCACCCTTTAAAAAAACAACAACACGCGGGCCTCCGAGAAGGGTTGTGTTTATTCTTACTCCCCCCCCTCCACACACACACTTAAATGATTACCCCCAGCCTTCTTTATTCGTGTCAGAAGCCCTTTCAGATGATAGACATTCAACACGAAGTAAAATTAAGTATGAAACCCCCAGAAGCCCCCCTCGGCCAGAGAGATGACCACAGCGAGGGAGGAGGGAAACTGCAGCCGGCCAGAAGGAAAGCCGCGTTTTCTCTCCTCAAGGCTCTCCTAACTGCCGCGCTGCCACTCTTCAGAAGCGGTCCTTACCGGTTTACACCAAAGGCCTCGGGGTCGGTCGCTTTTCTCGTCCTCTTCGCAACTACCCCGCTCTGCCTTCCGTTTGCTTCTGTGGAAGTTTTCTTTTGGTTTTGTTTTTTTTTAAATGTCCTCTTCCCGTCACGCGCTTAAGGGAGGAGCCCCCCCTCCTCCCTCCTCGCGGTTAGCCGGGTCCAAAGCCGTCGCCTAGGCCGCCAGGCAGGCGATGGCGCGCTCGTGCACCGGGCCGCGCCCCCGCCCTCGTTTCCCCTTTTCTTCATCCGCTCGTCAGGCGGACAGGTTGGGGCAAACCATTGGGCCCACTCGGAGAGGGGGGGAGGAAAGAGGAACGTAGAGCCGCCGTGGGGAACAATTTCTGAGGCAGACGGGCGGTTTAGAAACGTGAAATTATATAAAGGAACGGGTCAATTCGTTCGAAATAATGACGAAGTCGAAACCGCGCACGCACCATTACATTTCGAAACGACCCGCCTTGGCAAATATTAGTTGTGATTCTTTAGAGCAGTGGTTCTCAACCTTTTTCATGCCGCGACCCCAACCGGTCGTAAGTCGAGGACTAAACCGGTCGTAAGTCGAGGACTACCCAACCGGTCGTAAGTCGAGGACTTTCCCTGCCCGGGAGCGCCGCGCATGCGTGGTTCCGCCCCCTGCGCCGGCCGAGGCGTAGCTGGCAAGCGGCAGAGACGGAGCAGGCCGACCACCAGCTGGCCCAGCCCAAGGGAAGTAAGGCACCCGCCGGAAAAGGGGGAAAAATGGCGGACAAAAAAAATGGCGGACAGCCTTGCTTGGCGACCCCTGTGAAATGGTCGATCGACCCCAAATGGGGTCCCGACCCACAGGTTGAGAACCGCTGCTTTAGAGGCCTAAAAGGCGCTCTCTCCAGTTCCGTTGACTTTTTAACACTAGACTTCGGGCAGAGACCAATTTTGTTTTTGTTTTTTTATACGCGATGCCCATGTGATAAGCTTTGAGGTTTGGCGTTTTTTTTTAAAGTGCCCATTGGAGTCAGCCTTTCCGTCTGATTTTGTTTTCCTTCCAAATAAACGTGCGTAAGATGCGAGTATCGTCCTGTATCGATGTTAAGGGGCCTTTGGAAAAATTACAGCCCCCAATAAGTACGTGGTGTGCTTTCAAGAATGGTTGTCTGGTGTTGGAGAATGGTGGCATGTCACCTTTGAAATACGTGTCATGATCTAGATCAGGGGTAGGCAACCTCGGCTCTTTTATGACTCATGGACTTCAACTCCCAGAATTCCTGAGTCAGCTATGCTGACTCAGGAATTCTGGGAGTTGAAGTCCATGAGTCATAAAAGAGCCGAGGTTGCCTACCCCTGATCTAGATCTATTCATTGTTATTGAAGTATCTAGGACTATTCAGGTACACCCTGTCTCATAATTGCCTAATAAGTTAAAGCTCATGTGCTAAGATAGGATCATTCTCAACCTGCAACAGCAAGAAAACAGGAGGAACTTTAGGTTACCGCATCATAAGGTTTGTCCTCCAGCCTTGAGGAATCTACTCAGATTTTAATTCAGAAATTGCATAATGTGATAGGAACATTTTGCTGAAATAGGTAATACTTATCTGTAACCATATGCTTTCCACATTTTGCCCTTCATTTTCTAATTAAAAGATTATTGATGGTGGTAACTTGAGAGATACTTTAAGGTGATAAACTTGTTCCCAAACCAAATCACTGTGCTACTTACTTCATTTAATAATTCTGTATGAATTAAATCAGGTTCTCAAACTGCAGGTCCTCTAGGAACAGAAAGGACTTTGGGTGGGGGAACCTCACCTTTTTAATGTATTTCATGGATTCGGAATTTTAATGTATTAGAAGTGGTCAGATCTGTAATTTCTACCAAGCAAATTTACACCTATTGATCATGTAACAAATTAGGAGCAGCTACTGATGAACAGTTGACACCAGCTATAGAGAGTTGGGTTGCGTGTATCTCAGAAATATTTCTGGGCTTCTGTTATCTTTGCCAACATGGTGTGCTACAATGTATTCATATTCTTTGCAGTGTCTAGAAATCTACAGTACAGGCAGTCCTTGACTTTCAAATAGCTTAGCAACTATTTGAAGTTACGACTGACCCAAAAAAGGGCACGTAGACCAGGATTTGAAGTTCTGATGGTCAGGCCCTCTCTGCAGTCACATGACTGAACTTTGGACACTTGGCAACATGTCTGCATTTATGGTGGCTGTTTGCAGCATCCTGCAGTCATGTGACCACATTTTACAATGGTTTTCAGTTACTTCCAGTTTTCAGCAAAACAGTGCCCATAGCAAATCATTGTTTATTTAATAAATGCAGTAATCCATTTTTATAATCATTATGACATAAGACTGCAATGGGCAGGTTTTATTTGATAGAGTTGGACATTGACTATTTGGGTGTGGGCTCTGTTAAGCCACACTGATCCATTTTTATAATCATTATGACATAAGACTGCAATGGGCAGGTTTTATTTGATGGAGTTGGACATTGACTCTTTGGGTGTGGGCTCTGTTAAGCCACACACTGGCACAATATTCAGTGAATAAACCAGAGCCAAGATGTTTCTGCCAGTCTGCTCAGTAAATTATTGCAGCTTTTCAGTTTTGCAGTTTTTTCAAGTTTCAAGTTTATTGCATTTATATCCCGCCCTTCTCCTGGTAGACTCAGGGCGGCTTACAGCCAGCTAAAAACAGAACAATTGATACCACATACAAAATTAAAACAAATTAAAAAATATATTTAAATAGGCCTTCTCTTGTTGTTAAAAATTAATTAAAAATCCAATAGTAAAATATCCCTAGGCCAGTCCTGCCTGCTGAAACAGCCACGTCTTGAGGGCGCGGCGGAAGGAGGGGAGATCCGGAATCACCCGGATCTCTGGG